TTATCGTCGTTTCCATCTTCAGAACGATGTTTCTGTTCTGCCCTTGATTTGTGATATTTTTGATCGAGCTAAGAGATTGTCTGAAGAAAAACAGCTAGCCGAAGAGGTCCAGTTTACCGAAAACCATTCGTTAAATATCTCGAAACTTTTCTCTAGAAAAATACGAACTCCGAGAAAGACGCGGTATCCCATCCTTCGAGACGATCTTGGAAATCCCATAGTTGATGCCCAGTTAACCGCGGATAGCTTCAATGATTTCCTGTCCAAAACGTTTATTGAAGACTCGACCACTCCGCTTCCGACCATCCAGTCATTGACCGGGGCAGTTCTAGAAACTATAAGTTTCACTCTGTGGGATGTGACTGTTGCGATTCGTCGTTCTCATCAATCTTATAGTCCAGGCCCTGATGGTGTCCCAGTAAGCATTTTAAAAGCCGATGCAAACACGATCTTCCCATCCCTCTTATGCAGGGTATTTAATCTTGCTCTTGAAAGTGAAACTTACCCTACCTTGTGGAAGGAATCACACATTTTGCCCATTCCTATGCACGGCAAATCTACATCATTTGATGACTTTCGGCCAATAAACACCCTCCCTGCAGTTTCGAAGATCTAAGAGACATTGATCATGGATTAGATGATGTGTCACTTAACAGCGAATAACTTACTGAGTGCTGCTCAGCATGGATTCCTCAAAGCTCGATCTTGTGACACCTGTCAACTCTCTTACTTTGACTATGTTCTCCAATCTAGGGACCATGGTTTTGCTCCTTACACAGTATATTTCGATTTCACTAAGGCTTTTGACCGTGTTGACCATGCTCTTCTTCGCTTAAAATTGTCCTCTTTCGGAATAGGTGGCAAACTTTTTAATTTTATATCCTCTTATTTGGGCAATCGCACACAACGAGTTAAAATTTCCAATACCATCTCCAAGCCCACACGTGTGAGGAGTGGAGTCATTCAGGGTAGTGTACTCGGCCCGCTTTTATTCTGCCTTTTCGTTAATGATGTACCCGATTTATTTCTGAATGGTAAGCCGTTCATGTATGCCGATGATCTTAAAGTTGTATATCGATATAGGCCGGCAGATCGTGACATCGTGCTTGAGCTCCTAAAGAGCGATCTACAGACTTTCGCCCAGTGGTGCCGCACATGGCGCCTTTCTCTTTCTTGGCATAAGTGCTCAGTCATGGTGGTTGGCGACGACCGCCAACCTCAACTAAGTATTGAAGGTCACGCCATAAATGTGCCAGGGGTTATAAAGGATCTGGGCATATCATACTCCAAGAGTCTCAATCTCTCGGAGCACTGTGCCTTGATAGTCTCCAAAGCACGTAGAACGACCGGGTTTGTCCTCCGAAATTTTAAAACTAGGGACATGAGAATGCGCCTTTTCAACATGTACGTTAGACCTGGTCTGGAATACTGTTCGATTTCATTTAGCCTCATGCGTGCTACTGAGCGGAAGAAAATAGAATCCGTTCAACACTTTTTTACCAAGAGAATTTTAACCCGAGAACACCAACATTTGTCTTACCAAGAACGTTGCCGGCTTACGGGCCTTGATCCTTTATGGTTCCGTAGATTACAAAAGGGACTATTTTTGCTATTTAAACTCCTATATAATCACCCATTTAACCCACTCACCTCTTTAAGACACCATGTACACCCACGACGTAACAGTCACTGTGAGGTCTTTTTACTTCTTCCTGTGGCACGTGCTGTTAAATATCGTCTGTTCTTTTCTGTAAATGCAATTGCTATTTGGAATAAACTACCCATGAATGCGAAAACTCTGCAAAATTATCCTTTATTTAAGAGAACTATTACTCGGTTTTTGCATTCAGAAAAGCTCTCACAAATTTTGATTGCTGAATCCACTGATCGGCTGTACCGTAGCGATGGCGTTTGTTGTCTCTGAACACTATGGCCGGTTTCACCAGCTGTTCCTTAAAGCCTCTACTTTGACTATCCCCAACTTCATGAAAGGAATTTGACATCCGATGATCTCCGATACCGTGCAACCTCCCCCCTTCTTGACGGTCGGTATTCTCCCACCGCCGGCAGTTTTTCCTCCTGAGCCCTGCAAACCACAAAAACGACCATCAACTATATTTTTATGCCTTAAGCTCAGGAGTTTTTTTCACTGCCGGTCGGATTTATGTTAAATCGCTTCCCTTGACAATGCCTGTAAACTGGCATCAACTAAAAAGTTTATTTATTTATTTATTCTCCAATCTAGGGACAATGGTTTTGCACCTTACACAGTATATTTCGATTTCACTAAGGCTTTTGATTGTGTTGACCATGCTCTTCTTCTCTTGAAACTGTCCTCTTTCGGAATAGGTGGCAAACTTTTGAATTTTATATCCTCTTACCTGGACACTCGTACACAACAAGTTAAGACTTCCAATACTATCTCCAACTTTACACGTGTGAGGAGTGGAGTCATTCAGGGTAGTGTACTCGGCCCGCTTTTATTTTGCCCTTCCGTTAATGATGTACCCGATTTATTTCAGAATGGTAAGCCTTTCATGTATGCCGATGATCCAAAAGTTGCATGTCGATATAAGCCGGCAGATCGTGATATCTTGCTTGAGCTCCTAAAAAGCGATCTACAGGCATTTGCCCAGTGGTGCCCCCCCCCCCCATCTTAACGGTTAAATGTATGCCGCCAGCAGTTTTTTTTCTCCTGAACCCTCCAAACTATAAAAACCACCATCAACTATATTTTTTTTCACTGCTGGTCGGATTTGTGTTTAAAGTTTAACGTTTCCCTTGACAATGTCTGTAAACTGGCATTAAATAAAGTTATCAAATATAGTATAGCATGGCGCAAACCATGCACCATTCGGCGGTTCTAGATGCCGACGTGTGGACCGACCGTTGTCTTGTCAACTTCAATAAGAGTAGATAGATAGATAGATAATTTTTATTAAAGACCCGTCGGGGTCCCATCAATCAATCTAGTTAAAATAAATTTGCATGGGAGTTTTAGACGAGGTAGGCCGAATATTTGCAAAATGCAATTCCTAGTTTCTAAATTAGAAGTCCATTGAGAAACATGATGATTGAGGGGTGAAAAAAACCTCTTAGAAAAAGTTAAAAATGATTGGATTAATTTTACAGGAGAAAAAAATCCCTCTTTAAAAATAATAACAGAAAAAAGCGAGCAGGACTGGCCTGTAGGTGGCGGTATATAACGGAATGTTGTCAGTCATCGTCAGGGTAGCAATAAATGTCAGCCTTGATGGGTACGAATGTGGGTCAGACAGGAGTGGCTTGCAAATGGCATTGTATACGGGATTCACAATTGAGATCGTCTGGGCCTGATTGGTACGCCGCGTCAAAGAGGCCAGACGAGAGGAACCGAGATGCGATCGGCCACAGCACGCTTCGAGCTCAGCCGAGCAGTGAGGTAGGGAGGTACGACCGAACTACTAGTAAACAGTGAAGACTGAGGGTTCCGCCGTGAGTGTCGACAGACCGCATGATTATCGGCATATAGCTGCTCAGGTGACTTCAAGAAATAAAAATCGCTAGACAAGTTGAATACTGTTTTTTACATGTGCCTGCCCAACACCTTCATCTTATCAATGAGCTGGCTCATCGACTAGCTAACCTTCCAGTCGCCTCCGTGAAGTACCGACGGTCCTAACTGAGAGACACAGTCCGGTCAACCACCCTGGATGCCCTCAGCCGTAACGTCGTCTGCCCCAGCATTCATTCGACGACAACGACGACGACGACATCGCATCAGCGATCTGCTCGCCGAGAAGGACCAATTGCACAAAGCTTGCATTTAGCGCCCTCCCGACGCACAAAAAGCTGCCCTCTACCAAAGTCGTCACCTTGTAGCAAAAGTGGCTGTGATAGATGTAGGATACCCGGATGACTTGCAAGACCAAGGAGATCAAAGGGTGCGCGGACCTCAACGAATGAAAGGACTCCTTCGTTGCAATCAAGGCTATCTACGGTCGACAACCAAAGGGACCGGTCATCTTCTCAGCGTCGACTGAGAAGGCACAAACCCTGAAAGGGTTGGGCCAAACGCTTTGGAGGCGTCCTCAACAGTCTCTCCAATATATCCGACGCCGCCATCGACCAACTGCATCAGATGGAGAACAGCGCAGACATCGACCTCTCGCCTTCTCTACACGAAACTATCGGGACCGTGCAACAGCTCTGCGGAGGGAAAGCGTTTGGATCAGACGCTATCCTTGCTGAGATCTTTAAACACGGTGGTCCCCAAATCATGATAATCTGGCGACGTTCTATCAGGAGATGTGGCGTCAGAGAGGAGTGCCGCAGGATTTCAAAGACGCCGTTATTGTCTATCTCTAGAATCGGAAAGGGAGCCGCCAAATCTGCGACAACGCCAGAGGAATCTCGCTGCGCAACAGCGCCGGAAAAATCTTCGTCCGCATTTTCCTTAACCACCTAAACCACCATCTTTAACAGTGATTACGGTCGGAAGCCAGTGTGTCTTCCGCCACCCTAGCGGCACCACCGACATGATCTTTGCCGCCCGCCACCTGCGAGAGAAGTGTTCGGGACTGCGGTCCTCTCTGTACTGTATTTTCTTGGATCTCACGAAGGCTATTGGCACGGTGAACCGTGAAAGACTGTGTAAAATCATGTAGGATTTCGGCTGGCTCGAGCAATTCCCTCAGATTGAGCGTCAGCTTCACGATGGCTGGACGGCGCGCGTCATGGACATTGAAGGCGTATTAGAGGCATTCGCAGTAACCAACGGAATGAAGCAGGACTGCATCCTCCCGTCTACCTTCTTCAGCCTCATGTTCCCTGTCATGCTAATGGACGCCTTCAGCGACGAACGTCCCGGGATCTGCACTGCCTACAGGACGGACGGCTAACACCTCAATCTTCGACTGATGCATTTCCACTTGCGTGCATTCACAACCACTGTCAACTAACTTCTCTTAGCTGAAAATCGCGTTCTCAACGCAACAACAGAAGGGGACACGGAAAGCAACATGGACCTCTTTACCGCCGCCGGCCTCATCGTCAACACGAAGAGAGCGGCGGTCATGCACCAGCCGCCACCCAACGATGCCTATACAGCACCTCAAATCAACTTGAACGGCGCCCAACTTCAAGCCATAGGCAGCTTCGTCTATCTGGGTAGCACCATCTATCGTACCTCATAAATCGATGACCAAGTGGTCAGCATGACTATGCACAGCCAGTTTTGTAAAATCTGTCATATACAATCTTCCGCACTAATTTACATTGACCCTATTCACTACCTTATGATTACGATTGAACTGTGACCCAATCACATTTTAAATGACTGCAATTTTATTTTATTTTTGAGTATGAATCTGCGAAAGCACTGTACATAAATAGGGTCATCAAGGGCTCTGCCTGTAACCGGAAGAAAATAGAATCCGTTCAACACTTTTTTACCAAGAGAATTTTAACTCCAGAACAACGACATTTGTCATACCAAGAACGTTGCCGGCTTACAGGCCTCGATCCTTTATGGTTCCGTAGATTACAAAAGGGACTATTTTTGCTATTTAAACTCTTATATAACCACACATTTAACCCACTCACCTCTTTAAGACACCATATCCACCCACGACGTAACAGTCACCGTGAGGTCTTCTTATTTCTGCCTCTGGCACGTACTGTTAAATATCGTCGGTTCTTTTCTGTAAATGCAATTGCTATTTGGAATAAACTACCCATGAGTGTGAAAACTCTGCAAAATTTTTCTTTATTTAAGAGAACTATTACTAGATTTTTGCATTCAGAAAAGCTCCCACAAATTTTGGGTGCTGAATCTACTGATCGACTGTACCGTAGCGATGGCGTTTGTGGTCTCTGAACACTATGGCCGGTCTCACCAGCTGTTCCTCAACGCCTCTACTTTGACTATCCCCAACTTCATGAAAGGAATTTGACGTCCGATAATCTCCGATACCGTGCAACCTCCCCCCTTCTTGACGGTCAATATTCTACCACCGCCGACAGTTTTTTTCTCCTGAGCCCTTCAAACCACAAAAACCACCATCAACTATATTTTTATGCCTTAAGCTCAGGAGGTTTTTTTCAATGTTGGTCGGATTTGTGTTTAATCACTTCCCTTGACAATGCCTGTAAACGGGCATCAAATTAAAATTTATTTATTTATTTATATACATATACATTTCCAAAGCTAGCTAAGCCCTTGTTCGTCTACAGAACACCGTCTGTAATCGTCACGGTCTCCACTTCAACATCAAGCTCAAGATGTACAAAGCTGACATTTTCACGCGCTTCTATATGAAGCTGAGACCTGGATTGTGTACAAGAAACAGGCACCGAAGCTGAAACTGTTCCATCTCAGCTGTCTTTTACTGATACTAAAACTGAGGTGGCCGGATGCGATCCTGGATAAAGAAGTACTAGAACGGACGGGAATCCTCAGAATCCACGCCATGCCCAGACAAATGAGTAAAGTGTTCTCAGGGCGTCACAATAACCAAGTCAAGTCCCGAATGACAGAAGATTAAAGACACCAGACGGAGGCATTCCTTGTACACACAAATCCGTCTTGTCGTCTCAGGTGGGAGTACTCATAGGCGAAGCAAGGGCTAGTGCTGACTGCGCCTGGCCACTCCTGAAAGAGAGAGAGATTGATGCAGTGGTGGCACTTACTTTCGTTAAGAAGTAGTGTTTTCAAGCAGCAAATGGGCAGCTTCGAGTGTGTGGACACAGGTGTGTCCGAGCTGATGTCAGTCGAGTGACTGCAGGACAAGGCGCCTGGAACAGCTGGTTGCAAAGGTAAACAACCTTGAGGCATCTCGACCTAGAAAGAGGAAGTCAGACTTCGCAGTGATGGCTGCCGCGAACACACCTCTTAAATGGACATGCAAATTAACTAAGGGAACTATGCAACTCGCACACAGGGACGAAAACATTGGCACACTGACGTCAGAATTGAGGCAACAATCCTTGAAGCCAATCGAATAACAAAAGCCCGCAAGATGCAAACATTGCGGACCAACGTCGTGAACACTCGCAGCCCACCAGCATTTCCACATTATCAACTGACATTTAGAGCACGCATTAGTCATTTTGGATGCTTTTGAATCCACCGGAATATCTGCACGACCAGCGTAACCCACACGCGCTACAAGAGCCACCATTGACGGCACCCCTTAAAACTACTGTCACTGTTACACCGTCCTCCGGTCCCACTGTGCCTTTGTTGAGCATTTTTACAGTCACCGCGAAGAAAACGATACCAGGATATCCGAAATTTCAACCATCGCAAACGATAGTGTCACCTGTGTGTCCCACAGGGAGGTTGGTGGAGCTCCAGTGTCTTCTGAGTGAATTAATTTATATTGAGACAGACAAGCTCTACATCTACCATACTCTCTCATTCTTCACTTAGCTGGACCCGCTGTCAAGGAAACCGGAGGCGGGATCGGGCGCAGTGGTTGAGAAAGCTAAACATCCCCTCTTTGTGTGCCACACATAGCGAATGTACTGGGACTCCACAGAGAGTGGTCCGACCTCGAACGAGTAAGAACGCCAGAACAGCCGCATTAAGGAACTATTGTAGCCTGTCTGTCAGCCTTGAGAACCTGCTTATCCACTCAGTTGGCAGCCTTCCAAAACACGATTGTGAACTGGTTGTGATAGATTCAGGCGTATAATAGTTGTTTTGGTGATGAATGCATAGATGTGTCATGGAGATGGTTTCTCCAGTGCCAACTTCACTCAAAATTGAGGAAAGGCACCCATTTCGACATTTCAATCAGAGCAAGCGACGACGTCCACCGCATGCCCCATGGAGACTTGTGCGCGAATTCGTCCAAAGTGAGGCAGAATCGCGCATCATCCGGATTCACTCCCACAGCAACGTCCCCTATCTCATCCACCTGGTCCCGACGGCAAGGTACTGTCAAAATGATCAGAGATGATCTCGGACGCAGTGCTGATGAAGAAAAACACGACCTGGTTCCCAATCCATGTGTACCACGCTACATTAAGGGCAACTCGGCACTCAGATGATTAAGTGCCATAAGGACCACGTTAAGGAGCTGTTGCAGACAGCCAACATGGCCATGTCTACTGCCACTGTCCAACACCTCGCAACTTCAAGGTCATTAACCCTTGCAGCGAGCCGTTCCAGACGCGCCGACCTGAAGCCACTCAATCGATCTCAGCTCGGAGTCACCTGCGTCCATACAAAGTCGCAGTTGCCCATACGTCACCAACAACATCAGCCACTGGGATACCAATCCTCAGCAAATACAACACCCGCTGATTGGAGACCACTTGAGATTGACCCACGAGCCTACAAAAGTGGCTACCACCTCTGTCTCAGGGACGCTCAGGCACGACTTTACCCAGTCAATATTGGCCATGGCTTCGCCAGTGGCCACTGCCGTCTGAGAGGACAACTCAGTGTTCCGTGAACAACAAAACCTTCATTCTGATGACTCCCGTCTTTTCCTACGACTGGGGATTTGGTCTGATGACTGTAGCGCTCTGAATGCAATCCCACCGCCTAGACGCTATAGAGCCATTGTTCCCTGACTCCCAGTACCCCAGTCATTCTAAGGTATTCCCTCGAAGGCCGATTAAGCCTGTCACAACTTCGTGTTGGTTCAGCGCCCTACAGTCAAATCTATTTTTAATGCTAGCAAGGGACACCCACCACCAGTCACTCCAAATTCTCCCACGGGGACCAAGCTAGCCTGCCATTTTGCAACCTTGCAAACCACGACCCTTAGTGCGACGTGATAGATTAAGACGCGTCTGGCGGAACCCCCAAGGGTCTTTCAATAAAATTATCTATTCGTTTATTTACAATACTAAGGAATGTGCTTAGTTACCGCGGAGGATGACTTCCCAAGTGTCGCTCTCACTCCCTCTTCCCTCTTCCATGCACCTGTCGAGTGTCCGAGCCTGCCAGTCATCTAGTGCATGAATAGGACACAGCAACTGGCGTCAAATGAAGCAGGAGCCTAGACGTGACACCGCACCCATGTACTACAGTAGTAATGAATTCGCCTGGACTCTGTGCAGTCCGATTAATGCGTACCGTGGACCAATCTGACCACCGTATGGGTCCAACTTGTTGTGGAGGCCAACAAGGGACAGCCGCAGGTCAACCGTCGATTTCGATCATGCCCCCTGTGTGCTCCACAGCAGGGCGAGATTAGGGACGGTGATTTGCGTGTAAATTAGGTAATAGTGAGTGTAAACTTTCGCAGCATCTAGCTCACTCTCTCCTCCTCCTCTGACTGGTCCCGATATCAAACGAGAGTCAAGATGATTGGAGGGGGAGGGGACGCAGGTGGCTGGCGCGGCAGAACCCGTATCCAGGCGTACCACCACACCCCCTGGCCTAGGATTTTTAACAACATAAATGGGACAGCAGAAATCGCAGTTGGCGCGGCGTGAGCGACTGCGCCCCAAATGTCGGCATTTTTCAAGAAGGCACATTTCCGATAATGCTTGCTAGAGTCCGATGTTACTCTACTGTTGATCCATCGCATCTAGCGCATAGCCCGTTTTAGGGACACCCACCGCCGCCGCCGCCGCCACCACCACCACCGCCACCACCGCCATCAATAAAATCGAAAGTGCTGGCACAGCACCAAAATATCCATCTTGATGCACACACCTCTAAGTGAGTGTTCGAGTGGTTAGAGTTGAATCACGGATGCCGAAACAGATCAACGGTGTAAACAGTAGCAGGTAAGAACCTCGTTGCTTCTGCTTCAAATGTTTCCATTCGAGGTTGTTCAAGGCTCCTGATCATACTACCACTCTTCTGAGGTTTAAGAACCACTGGGTGCGTCAAATATACTTTCAATTGTTGATGAAACTGTACTCCTATTTGCCCCTCATAGACGACTTACTTTTAACCTTATCTACAGACGTGAATACTCTGCCGAGGTAGTTGAGTCAACATGAGCACATTTAGTCATATGTACCGGGCCACCCGGAGTCCGCAATCTCCACGCCTATTGTTGAGCAAGACAAACACTTCTGTGGAGGTTTTGTTATCATCATTGGCGAACGCTTTCAGACCGAGCACAACGCGAGGGGACCAAAACATGATAGATTCTAAACTGGACACGGGTTTTTAGTTCGGCTTTATTGAGATAAAGTGTGTGAATCCGAGACCTGAGCAAGTCTCCTCATGTTCCAATCAGCAGCTGACAACAGTCTGATGTGTAGCGTTGGATCCTCCTCCTGGCGGACCTAGTGCCACCCCAATGACGTCCACATTTTCGATGGCAGGTAATCTTAAGTCATCGTCGCATTGAAGTGGAGGGTGGCTTTTCAATCCCGATAATGTGTATATCGACCAAGCCATGACAACTGGATGAACTAGACTGCCAAAGCCCCCGATATGTCTGTTGGAGTTGACAAAAATCAACTTGAACAAGCAGGCCATTAAGCTTCAAATTCTTCAGAGATTTGCGTTGCTATCATTATTCGGGTAGGGCACTTTGAACCTGTCTTAGAACTTATGAAATATATGATTAGAACACGATTAGCCTCAATGTTTACAGACCCACAAGTGTCATGCATGTGGAATCGAAATTTGCGGTCAATCTCCCAGGTTAGGCCTACAAGGATGTTTAAACCTTTTACGTGAATGTTACCAAGCCTGGCGGGTCAACCGCATAGCACCTAATTCTACAAAACCGGCAATAAGGAGTATTTCGAACCTGCAAAGAAAGATGGGCCGTCATACTACGAAATCAGGCAGCAGATAAAGACGTAACCACGTGCTCCAACCATTTTGCTGCTGTACAGATCAACTAGATGTGGTCCGGAAAAAGATACCGGATGAGCCACAGAAAATCCCTGGGGAGTCGCTCTAGATTTCTTCTTAAAATTATCCGTTTTACTTACTGTCTGATTTACCGTACTGTTGGCGCGGATACTGACTAAATACCCAGACTCGTTTTCGACGATTTTGTGCCGCTACATAACGCGACTGAACTATGGTAGGAAGCAGATGGGGGACGTCGATGCCCTCGAAAGGCGCGCCACGCAGCACATATAATCAACGAAATACGCACCTGGGTTGTTAATTTGTCACCTCAACTCCCCGAGACCGATCTGGAGGATTACTGAAATGGCTGTCAGTATACTACTAGCATGAATTCAACAGACCCTTTTGATTACATTAACCTTGACATATGTGAAAATTTACACAGTGCGGATGAAGTGGACGATTTTTTCGCCGTTATTGCGCAAATTTCATACCTTTTTCACATTTATATTCCACTATTAGGCTTAGCCATTATGCACACTAAAACTACATGCGGAATGTTTGCAATTTAACTATTTCCCTCCACCTTCGGGCATTAATTTCCTGAAAATTAAACAAAGAAACTGTAGTTTATATGACGGAAAGCACATGTGGAACGTTGGGGGACCCACAGATGAGCCGAACGCCTCGTAGCCGCGTTATGAAGCAATATAAACTGGACAGCACGTGTATGGACCTCGCCGACTTTAATCCTCTACCTCGATGCTGCTCGAACGATTGTTTAGAGCCATCGTATCTACGGGGTGGCGCCCGTGCGATACTGCGACTGCCAAGGCATGCACCATTCCCCTAGTCACTGTGCAAACAGCTCTCTCCCCTCCCATCTATGCGCTGCGTATGGAGAATGAAAACAGAAGGTTTCCCCTTCTAGCGTTTTGAAGGCGGCTCCTCGGTTAAAATATACAATTGGCGTCTCTACTGACACCGATCAGACTGTGCGACAAGTGCACGAAACCATTGCAAAACTTTAAGATGACGGAAATTACTCCTCCAAGTCCAACTCGGCCCCTTCAACCGAAGCGGCAGCCAACCCAGAACTGGCCCAATAAGTGCTGTCGAACAGGTTTTAGAGCTTCCGGTGCTCAGTCTCCAGCGCTGGCGAGGAGTTTCGAGTCGATGGACTAGCGTTGACCTCTGACTTCCCGGTGACTAATCTATCCCACAGACGTCTTCTGCCATCATATTTACAGCGATCGATTCTTTTGGAAGACCAACATTTCGCTTTAACGTGTGAGTAAAACCTGCACACTGTCAAACCTCAACGTGTGCCTGGTTATCATAGAAAGTTTGGGGCTTCTATGTGGTGCACACACTGCAAATACGGGTACTTCAGACACTTGTTTGGCCGACAGACTGCTAGTGAATGACACACCTGCGAGGCATTAGACTCCAGGAACTCCCATGTACTTTTTGGTATAAATTCCAATTTTCAATTCTGACCTTCTTAACCTCTTCATCAGTTAATTCGGAGTAAATCCATCGGGACAAATCTTTCTGGAGTAATTCATGCAGAAGCTTTATATGTTCATTTCGAAAGTAGAGCGCACGAGGCTCCGTTCCGAATGATGTACTTCAAGTTGGTGCGTTGATTTCTGAGATGAAAGAGTTGAAATTTGAAGACTGGAGCATCTATCATTAAGCACGCGGAGGAAGTTCGGGTCCAACTGAAGAGCCGAAGCCCTCGCAGGTGTCGTATGCAGCGGCAGAATATCGGCGAAACACGTGTCTGGGTTTTTAGCTAGTATCAGCACTGTCGGTGTGGCAAATAATAAAACATGAGTATACTACTGACTACTACGCGGTTATCTTACTGAAGCCCACGGACTCCGGCTCAAGAATTCACATCAACTTTCGGACTGAGTCGATGAAGCTTCACTTCGAATGATCTACTCCAAGTTGGAGCATTAACTTCTGGGTAGATTGGAAAGATGGAATTTGAATTATTTAAAAAAGAACGTCAACTGTTGATGTAACCCATGAAACATAAACCAGAATTCGGGTATGTGATTTCGGTTAGAAAGAAGAGTTTGGGTGGGATTGGTATATTGGTTGGCGTGCAGCCTTATTACAAGGCCTTCCTGAGCACGTGTCTTCCGGGTTGCCTGCAAAATTCGTATCCGATAAAATTAACTACTTAAATAGAATACACGCCTCCATTTATTTTTAATGTTTTAATAAATCCAAACACTTATACTGCAGCAAATTATGCCTTTTCAGGTTTTCTGCTCGAAGTAGGGGTTTTTCCGCCTTATAAATTCTATAATTAGAAGATTTTTCACGACCGTGAAATGCATTTTAGGTAGCATAATAGTTTCTGGTTTATTAGTACTGCATTTACAGTACCGTGTTGGTCATATCTATTGCAAAATTCGACGAGCACTAAACAGCATCTTCTTAATGGCGTGAAGGTATGTATGATTTCGCTTAAATGGAAACCCCAAGCGCTAGTGCAACTGCAGGTAGGACTCGGAATCGGTGAGGGGAAGAAACCTTTTTTAAAAAAAACTGGAAGAGACCCTCATTCATAAAGATGGCGGTTACTACAAAATGAGCACAAAAAGGATATTTTTTGCGCCTGTTTTCTATGAAACGTGGTTGAATTTAGGAAGACACTGGAAA